GGGCTGTCTGACACACAATATCCATAGGGAGACAGCTGCACTGGGAGCTGGAAAATCTGGATCTGTTGGAGCAGCATTTGTCTGTGCCGTGCAGACGTGCTCTGGGTAAATTTGATGTGTGGGTGTTTCTGAACAAAGAGAAACAATTGGCTGTTTTCACCTTGTCCTGTGTTTTAGGAAGGGGAATTATTAAGAATTAATTACGTGAGCTCTCTCTAGCATAGCCAGGTAGGAGGGTTGATTTTGACCAGGTGATATTTTTGAGTCAAAAAAACAGAAAAACAGAAAATTCGTTATGCTTGGACTGAGCTTTTGTCTTTTGAAGGCTTTCAGCATTAATAAGAATTAATTACGTGAGCTTGCTCTAGCGTAGCCAGGTAGGAGGGTTGATTTTGACCAGGTGATATTTTTGAGTCAAAAAAAACAGAAAAACAGAAAATTCATTATGCTTGGACTGAGTTTTTATCTTCTGAAGGCTTTCAGCCCTTCCCTCCCTCCCTGCTTTCTCCCTGATTGTCCAACAAAATGGTTTGGGATGAGGAGACTGGGGGAAAGGACTGTGCTGACTCCTCTGCAGCCATGGCCAGGCTGTGCCAACTTGGGATGGTGAATTTATTTATGGTAAATAATAAAGATGAAAATTGGACACCACTTGATGTCTAGCTACAAATACAAACCCTCCATTGCCTGAGGGGTTCGAGCGTTTGGAAGACACTTGAAAACCCTAAAAGGAATAGGGGAAAGTGTATTTAGGTTTGGGGTTTGCTTCTTCCCTTCCCTCCTCCCCTCCGGCACATCCTCCTGCTCCTCCCCTGCCCCAGCAGAGACCTCTGGAAAATCCCAAACCATGGATTTTGCCACGCCAAGTTCCGAGCGTGTCCCGAACCCTCGGAGCGCGTGTGGGGCGGGCGCAGCCGCCATTGGAGGTTGATTTTATTCCCTTTTTTTTTTCCCCCAAAAAAAACCCCCAGCCCGTGGCTCCCTCTCCGGCTGCGCCAGAGATAACAATGGGGGGCTTTGTGCTGCCCTGCAGCTGCTGAAATTTGACGAGATCCAAGTGAGGAAAACAGGAGCAGGTGGGTCAACAACGTGACCCTTTCGTTCCCAGCAGTATCAGTGAGCCCGGGAATAAGGATGTGTTGGTTGGGGCTTGGAGGATGGCAGTTGTCTCTTGGAGAGAGCCCTGGTGGGGTTTGCTGCTGTTTATGGGATGGGTTTCACCCCCAAGACTCCAGGATTGGGGAACGTTACTGGAGGTCGTTGGTCCCGTCATTCCCAGATTGTTCAGTGGGTTTGGGATGCTCCATGGCTTCTGTGTGGATGCTCCTGAAGCTCCCAATGTCCTGAAGCTCCAATATTTGCCTTCCCATCCCACAGCCCCAAAGTGGGGCTGTCCCAGATGTAGCTGCTCCATCCCTGGCAGTGCCCAAGGCCAGGTTGGACAGGGCTTGGAGCAGCCTGGCACAGTGGGAGGTGTCCCTGTCATGGCAGGGGTGGCACTGGGTGGGCTTTGAGATCCCTTCCAACCCAAACCATTCCATGATTCTATCCCAGTTTCTTCTCTGAGTCCCCCAGGCCATGGAGATGTCTCCTTCCTGTCTGTGTTTTTTGCTGCCCTACAAAATGTCGGGTGTGGGAATTGCTGCAGTTGGAGGAGGGTTTGGGATGTGCTTCCCAGGGTGTTTGGTGCACATGGAGGATGTGGCTGTGTTCACCTCCTGGCACTGCCACATCAGCAAATGCATCTCACTGTAGAATCCTGGAATGGCTCAAGTTGGGAGGGACTTAAATCATCACCTTCCTCACCTTCATCACTGCTCCCATGTGATAGCAGCAAGAGGAGGGCGAAAACCAGGAGAGAAATCCTGGAGTTCATGAGCTGGGAGGGTCAGTGAGGAACCCTGGAGAAATCCTGGAATTCATGAGCTGGGAGGGTCAGTGAGGAACCCTGGAGAAATCCTGGAGTTCGTGAGCTGGGAGGGTCAGTGGGGAACCCTGGAGAAATCCTGGAGTTCCCTTCAGGTGTCGCAGTGTGTTTGGGCTCTGTGAGCCCCTGAGTGGTGTTCAGAGGTGACAACGCTCAAAGCTCAGCAGGGACGTGGCTCCAGCCTCAGAGCTGTCTAAGAATCTGAAGGATTTGGAGTCTGAGGCTTTCAGGGCAGATGTGAACAACTGTGCGTGAGTCAGCGGGGAGGAACGGGAGGTTCTGCTGATGGATTTGGAATTCTTGGGCCTGGTATCATCTTACAGCCCAGCGAGGGTGAGCTGGAGCCCAGCTCCGCCCTCATCCCCTGAGCTGTGGATTCACTTGTGCTGTTCAACATGTTCATCTCCTCAAATCTTCCTGACTGAGCTGGAATTTTTATAGAAACCACAACGCAGGAGGATCTGGGATAATTCCAGCACCCCCAGCACTTCCAGTGGCCATGGAGCAGCATCCAGCAGCAGTTTGTTTGCACGAGATGAAGCCTGAAAGAGGAGTGGGCTTGGGGGTCTTCTCCAAGATTAATGTTTTTCTAGGAGTGACAGGTTATGGTCAGGATGAGTCTGTGCTGGAAGGAAGAGTCCAGGACGAGGATGGATGGATGGATGGATGGATGGATGGATGGATGGATGGATGGATGGATGGATGATGCAAGTGGGTGATGGATCCCAGAAAACTGATCCCACATGGGCAGCTGTGGAGGCTCCATCCCTCAGGAAGGGGATTGTGAATAAATCAGAGCCTCTCCCAGCTTATCTGCCCCTAAACCTGGTTTTAGCAGGACCTTGAGGCAGGAGCAGAGCCCCACATGCCCTCACCAGGGAGCAGCCAGAGCTGAGCAGGATTTAACCCCAAACTGGGTGAATTTTGGGGCCCAGACTCCTGTCCCAGCCTGTGAGCAGAGTTTGTGCTTGGCTGCACTTGCAGTTAAACCCAGCTTAGGGCTGGCTTAGCTGAGAGCAGCCGGGGGTGCCAGGGCTGTGCCCAGCAGCTGGCAGCGCTGTTTACTCCGTGCTGCTCCCGGCACAGCTCCATCCTGCTGTGCCAGCTGGTGCCAGGATTCCAGCCCATCCCTTTGGGATAAAAGCACAGGTGCAAGGCTGAACTCGTGGTCTAGGCCATGCCAGCAAGGCTTGGCTTGGCTTTGCCCACGTGGGTGCTGGGAGCATCCTCCTGGAGCCGTGGGATGTGTGGGAATTGTCCTGCAGGATGCCAGCATCCTTCTGTGCCCCTTGCTGGGGTTAAAAACCAAGCAGGGAATGCTGCTGGTGTGCCCTGCTGGGTGAGGGCAGTGCTGCTCTCCATGGGAATGGATGCCCAGGGATGCAGGAGTTTGGATCCCACCCCAACAGCCATCCCCAGCAGGGCAGGGTGGTGATTACCATATGAAAACAGGGATAACAGTGGGATTCTTGTGCCGGCAGGAATGAGGGAGATCTACGACCCTTTTGGTGCCAGTCAGCCCCGGAGCTGGGTTCAGGCACAATTAACCTTTCACTTTTGGGATGAGCCGGTGCTTTCCTGCTGCAGCTGCTTTTGGGACAATATTCCTTACTTCTCCTTCCAGAAACATTAATTTGGGCATCTGGGGGGGCTGTGCTGGGAACCACAGGCTGTGTGGAGGGAGGAGGGGGAGTTTTAAATGGCTTTGATGTGTAATAATCTGAGTTTTAAAAATTCCATTTTGATTTAAGGGGTTTTTGCACATTAAGATTAAAAAAAAAGGAGGTTTCACGACTGTTATTGGAAATATTTTCAAGGAAAATCAAAGTGGCTTTTCCTGTGTGACAACATCAAATCAAGGGTTGGAAAAATCTTGGGGTGGGGGATCAGGGAGCTCAGGCTGAAGCTGGAAGGGATTGATGTGTTTGGAATGGATTTGGAATGGGTTTCCCTGCCTCTTTGGGCTGGGTGAAGGAATTGTTATGGATCAAACTGGTGAAGTGCCTGGAGAAACCTTGGGAATGAACCGGAGCCGTGGGCACTGCCTGCTTTAATTGGCATAGCTGAGAATGTCAGAGCCTTGATGGCTCCACCAAGGAATTTTCAGGAATTCTGATCAGCAATGTGCCATTTAATGTGTTTTTTTTTTCATGGTTTCAGCGTACAATTCTATCACACAGAAATATTTGAGAATCAGAATAATTGGAGGTGGGACAATGCTGCAGCAATTTAGTTTTGGCAGGGATAAATTGGTGCTTGCAGACATGGTGAGGGTTGGACTTCACCTGTCAAAACAGAGCTGTGTGTTCTGCCTCTCTTGGAATAATCATTCCAATGTTTGTAGGCTGGGATGGAGCAGAAAATGCAAAATACAGATTTGCATGGATTAGGTGGAGTCTGTCTGCTCCAGAGGATCCAGGGAATGGATTTGTGGTGGGATCCCACGGCTCTGCTTTGAGCTCAGTCCAGGGTAATTTGATTACATCCAGGGATGTGTAAAATCCAGCATTTGGTGGAAGTGGCCTAATGGACAATTTTGGTACCTTTTTGATTTTTTTTTTGTGATTAAAATTCCGAGCTTCTCATTGCACTGAATGCTGATGATGACAAGACCTAATGGGATCTTAATTGCTATTTTTTGAAGTTAAAACTGCCCCATTTTGGCAAAAATCCAGCCCAGCCCATGGCACTGCTGGATCCATCCATGACTGGAGGAATCAGTGGCACTGCTTGCTTGTCCCATCCACTTCCCAGGGCACCTAAATCTCATTTTGTCTGCTTCATAGAAGTTATTAATTTTTATAAAATCCCCCCTTTTATGCAGTTTGTGCTTGGAGAAGAACACCACAACCCCAAAGCTTCAAACCCCTGAATCCCTGCTGTGTGGGATGTTTAGTTTAGGGCAGCTGGTGCCTGATTTCCCCCAAATTAACCTTAAAAAGCATTCAAGGTGTTTTGTTTTTGTTTTTGTGTTTTTTTTTTTTTTAATCCTTCCCTTTAAATTTAATTCCAGGATAACTTCCATCACTTTCACCATGCTTATTTCCTTCTTCGCTTCTCATTGGCCCTGCAGGATGGGAATCACAGCTCCTGGAGACAGGATTCCTGGGAATATTCCTGTGCCCCCTCTGGACCCTGTCCCGCCTGCCCCAGGGCTCTCCTCCTTCCAGGATTGTCATCTGGAGTTTCCGCTGGCTGATTTTCAGGATCATGCTCGGAGCGGTGAGTGGGAATTCCCCTTTGGCTTCTTGGAGGTGCCAGCAGCAGGAATGTCCCATCCCAAATGTCCCATCCCAGCTGGGAATTTGCCAATCCAGCGCCTCGGGGTCTCTTGTTTTGGGAGTTTTCCCACCAAGGAGGAAAAGCTCCCTGCTCTGGTCCTCAGGATCCTTCAGCTCGCTCCTCCTGGTTTGGTTTTGAGGAGGAAGAACAGGAGGGAATGATCTGTGTGGATGTGTTGGTGCTGCACTTGAGGGGCTCCTCCAAAGGAATTAAAGGGAACTTGGGCATTGTGGCTTTTCCACAAGACTCTTGGAATCCTGTGGGTAATTCCCAGCTTTCCCTAGATTTCTTCTCCTTTGTTTTTTTTGCTTTTCTGAGCTGTCACTCTCTGCTCCGTGCTTCCAAGCTGAAAAATTGCTGCAGAACTGTCCCAGTGCCAGAGGGAATTCCCAAGCAGCTCGTAAGGGAATCCATCAGGACCTGACACATCCCTGTTAAAACCAGGGCGTGGCAGGGGCGTTCTCCCGTCAGCTCCATCTGCTTGGACCTTCCAGAACATCCCAAAACTTGAAAGCTGAGGATCATCACTGTAGGAGGAGTTGTTGGGTTTTTTGGAATTTTGCCTGAGAATTTTTTCAGGGATCTCAGGGTGAAGGTTTTATTTGAGGCATTTTTTACCAACGGAATCTGAACCAAATGTCAGCACATCCTGAGGGATGCAGGCTGGATCCCAGGATCTTGATGCTTTGGATTCAGGGAATACCTGGATGTGGCACTCAGGGCTCTGCTCTGTTTGGCAGTGTGGGGATTCGTCATGGATGGAGATCTTGGAGTTCTTTTCCAGCCTCAGTGATCCCAGGGTTCTGTGGTTCTGGATTGCTGAGTGAATTGACACCAAGTGTAGCCAAACATCCCCAATTTCCTTTAAAATTGATCTGATCACCAATTTGCTTCCTGCTTTCCTTCTAAACTGGGATCTGCCTGAGATTTTTTCCTGCAGATGTGTCTCATATATTCTGAATTATGGGGCAGGCTGGATATGAAGGAAAACTCTGCTTCCCAAACATCTCTGTTCCCGTTATCCCTGCGCTGCTCTCAGCTTTGCCAGGAGAGCAATAACTCCTGATATTTTTGGGAAGAGACACATCCCTGTGTGTCTGAGACACTGATATATCACCAACAGCCACAGGAGAGGAAAACATGGAAAGGTCATTAAATGGGGACCCCCCCAAGCGAGTGATTGATGGGATCTTTAATGTTTTGGGGCCCGAAGTCGTGTAGGATTTCTCCTGGGCTGGGGGAACAGCTCAGCAGGCAGTGGGAAGGAGGAGGATCCTCCTGGAGCCCAGGTGCACCTGCTCCCAGTGCATCTCTGGTTTCCTCCTGAGCTGGCCAGGAGCTCAGCACGTGCAGCAGGAGTTTCCCCAGGGCTGGGGTTGGCAGTGGTGGTGTTTTCTGCAGGAAGTTTGGCTTTCCCGCGTGGTTCTCCCAGGATTCTTCAGGCTGGTTGGGGTGAGGCTTTCCTTGGGAAATCCTCCAAGCAAGCAGCATTCCCTGGGGGCAGCTGGGCTTTCCTCACCTTGTGCTGGGTGTTAGGAGAGTGTTTTGGGAATGTTCCTTGGGTGGGCGAGGTGGTGTTTCCTCCCCAGGTTCCCATCCCAGCGCTCTCCTGTTTTCCATGGTCCCTTCCTGGACCACGGGGCTGATTTTACTTGGCAGCCCCTTTTTCCTCCACTCAGGGTCTCATATTTGGGATCTTTCTCCACGTGCAGCTCTGACAACCTGGGACTTTGCACTGAGCAGAGCTGCTCTGGTTTGGAGGAGGACGTTGCAGGAAAGGTTGGAACGAGACGATCTTTAAGGTCTCTTCCAACACAAACCATTTCATGATTAAGGAGTTTTGCTGTTTCCTGGCTAAACCTCCTCCCAAAAAATCATGTCCAGACCTTGCTGTACTGTGCACAGGAGCTGGCTGGGTTTGTTTAGGGAGAAGTGGGATAATCCCAGCAGTGGTGGGAGGCGAGGAGCTCAGGCAGGCGCTGCTGCCGGGGTTTGATTGGCAGCGAGTGCTGGGCTGAGCTCAAATATTGCTGCCTTTTTAAAAGGCATAATTATGTGATTCAATCTATATGTTTGATGTTCCTAATCATCCATTAGAGCAGGATGTAAAGAGGGATGCTTCCCAGGAACATGCCACAGAATAGGGGCTCTTTGTGTGAGCCAGCAGCTCGTTAGGCAGTGAGTGATGCAAACACACATTTGCAGGGCTGCTTTCCCTCAGAAGAGCTCCGTGGTTTGATGGCTTCATCATTTTGTTTGTGACTCTCTGTCACTCGGATTTCCTGAGGCTTGGAAGATGCCGAGCATGGGTTTGTGATGCCATCAGAGTCAGGAGGTGGGAGGCAGAGGTGTGTGCTGAGATTCCTGCCACTCCTCAGGCAAAGGGATGAGAGGACACAGCCTCAGCTTGCACCAGGAGGGTCAGATTAAATGTTAGAATTATTTCTTTTTTCTCTGAAGGAATGGTCAGCATCGGAATGAGTTGCCCAGAGGGGTGGTGAAGTCACCATGGAAGTGTTTGAGATACTGAATGTGGCACTTGGGGATGTGGTGGCACTGGGTGGTCCTGGAGGTCTCTTCCAACCTGGATAATTCTGTGATTCCAACCACACAACACGTTCTGTGTTAACCAAGCCACAGGGACTTGCCAAGAGGAGCAGCCCCACTTCCAGCAGGGTCCTTGGTGTGGTGGCATTGAGGTGTTTTGTCATCTGCAGCTGCCAGGGGACTCTGCAGTGCTCTCCAAGCCTTGTTCCTCTCTCCAGTTACACAAATATTTGATCCAGCAGGCAGAGCTGGTTTCCAGCTGCTCCATTCCCTCAGTGGTGGGTGGCTTTGGGGTGGTGTCAGCCCCTTCTCCCAGCCCCTTGCTGCAGGCTGGGGTCCTTAGGGAGCTCCTGGCAGCCCTTTTCCCAAAGTGCAGAGTTTAATAACCCCTGATTCCCAAAAAATTGATTGGTTGGAGCTGTGCTTCCCTGGACCAGCATCTCCTTGAATCTTGTGAACTCCCAAGGTCCAGTCCCACTGGTGCCAGCTCTGCTTGGAGCTTTTTGGGGAGCTTCTGATTGAATCCCCATCCTGTGCTTCCAAGGTGAGGCTTTCCCTCCCAGGGGGAAGAGTTTCTGCTTCATTTTTCGGTCGTTTTGGGGGTTTTTAGGGCAGCAGCCTTGCTCAGGAGCTCTCCATCAAATACACCTTGTGGCTAAAACCCCATTCAGCAAACATTAGTCCTGGGTTTTTCCTGCAAGGCCTGAGAGTAGATAAGAACTTCATGGAGTCCATACATTCTGGGGAATTCCCTGCTGCAGGTGAGACCCACGTGCTGGGGGAGCCCAAATTCCTACCCAGGGCTGGACTGGAGCTGATGAATTGCCAACAGCATCCTGGGGAAAGCCTGGAGTAGCTCCTTGTGTTCTGAAAGTCATCAGGGATTGTTAAAGTAAGCCATAAAAGAGAGTTTCTGTTTCTTCAGCAGGGCAGGGGCTGAGGGGCGTTGTGGGAGCTCAGAAATGTGAGAATTTGGTTGTCATCAACACCTGCCTGCAAGTGCAGCAGCACTGAGCACACCTGGAAGCTGCAGGAGCACGGGAATGGGATCTCAGGGGGGTTTGGGAAGAGCCCTGGAGCAGCAGGTTCATCCTCCAGCCCTGCAGTGGGTGAGGGGGCAGTGCTGGGGGGCTTCTCCTGATCTCTTTGCCCTGGGCTGTTCCTGGGTGCAGGAGCAACGTTCCCTGGCTGAGCCCTGGGGTGGGAGCTCAGGCTGCATCCTGGGTGCTTGGTTGGTGTCCAGCAGCACTTCCCTGGAGCTCTCAGCCCTGCTGGGATGTGCCCATTATCCAGAGCACTCCTGGGTCACTTGTGATGATGGTCTGTACAAGGAATATCACCCTGGATTGGTTTGGCTTGGAAAAGATCTTAAAACTCATCCAGTTCTAACCCCAACACCTTCCACTGTCACAACCTGGCCTTGGCCCCTCCCAGGGATGGGTCAGCTACAGGAAACAGGGAAAACAAGGGATAATTATCCCTGCTGGGGATCCACGGAGGAGATGGGGGAACTTTGAGCATCAGGGGTGCAACAGCAGGCTGGAAAACTGGGAATAAACAGGGAATGGAGGTGGAGCTGTGCCTCACAGAGGATCCCAGCCATATGGAATGAGTTACCAGGGAAGGTGGCTGGAGCAGTGAGTGTGAGTCTGAGACATCTTGATTACTTTCTGCAGGAAAGGATTGAAGAGTGGAGTGAAAAACCAGGGAAACGGGATTTAAAGCACATTACCACTTTAATTTAAAAGTGCCCAAAGCAAGGAAATTCAGGTTTAAAGCTGCCAATCTCTGCCTGGCTGCTGCAGGTGTTGGGGCTGGGAGGACTCCGGGGTCTGTGTCCAGATGGGTCCTGGGGCCATGAGGCCAATCCCAAACTTTGGGTTTGTCCCAGGAACGAGATCCTTTAATAGGTGTGTTCTGTGATAATTTTATTCTTTATAACAGAAATGTGTTTTTCTTTGGTAATCTGCCCTGTGTGCAGTGCCCTGGACACCTTCTCTGGGTGATGCCCTTTAAAGTGTTGCAGGGCCTGGGATGGTGCCTCAGGAAGGGTTTTCTTCCCCCTTTTATCTCCCAGTTTGGAGAGCCCTTCCCAGGAGCTGCTCCCTCTGCTCCTCCCCACATCACACACGAGGTCCTGAGGAGGAATTTAGGGGGAGTTTAGGGGAATTTAGGGAATTTTTGGGAAACCCAAGAGCATCTTTTCCACTTGGGATTTGTGACTTGGCCGTGCCTCCCCTTGCTTTGCTTCCTGTAAACAAAATTTCTCTCTATTTTTTTCCCACTTCCCAGATTTCCCTTTCTGTCAGACTGCCCCCCCTCTTCCCAAATCCAGGCTCAGCCCCCCTGAGCTGTTGAGGAACATCCTCGGAAGTGGCTGCAGAACAGAGGAG